GACTGATCAACCAAATCCATCTCCGTCTGCTTTTTTCATTTTCTTTGATTCCTTATTGCAGAGAGATTCTGTGTTAATTTTGGTATTGCTTGATGCTGCCGGAGCCTGCCCCTAGATTCCTGTTGAATCTGTTCACTTAGCCATGGCCTTGTTCTGTGTTGTGCTAATCACTACCAGTTTACATCACTTGTCTGTCCTCTTCGCTTTCAAAATTGTTTGGCATATTGCCTCTTCAGCATCTCTTTTCATTTTAAATTTCAAAATGGTATCTTTTATATTTTTTCCTTGATTGCCATGGCCAATGTGTATTGAACAATTGGTTTATCTTTTTTTGTTGATGCATAATAGATGTACATGTTTTCAGGGCACGAGTGATATTTTGATACATTCACATAATGTGTAATAACCAAATCATGATATTGGTATATCCATCACCTTAAACATTTATCTTTTCTTTATGCTGGGAACGTTTGAATTATTCTCTTCTACCTATGTTGAGATATAGATTATTGTTTACTATAGTACTGATTTATTGAACACTAGGTCTTATTTCTTCTAACTGTATTTTTGTGTTTTTTTGTGTGTGTTTTTTGAGACAGGGTCTTGCTCTGTTGCCCAGACTGGAGTGCAGTGATGTGATCTTAGCTCATTGCAACCTTCGACTCCCGGGTTCAAGCGATTCTTCTGCCTCAGCCTCTCCGGTAGTTGGGATTACAGGCGCGTGCCACCACACCCGGCTAATTTTTTGTATTTTTAGTAGAGACAGATTTCACCATTTTGGCAAGGCTGGCTAACTGTGTTTTTCTACCTATTAATCAACCTGAAATCATTCCCCATCCCCCTACTAGCTTCCTGGCTTCTAGAATATCGGTTTACTCTCTCTTCGTGAGATCCACTTTTTTAGCTCACTGACATTTGCAACGACATGGATGGAAGTGGAGTTCATCATGTGACATGAAACTATTGGTTTCACTTGCGTTTTTGCAAGTTTACCAGATTAAAGTAGACTGGCCTTGTAGCAGTGATACCAGATACTATGGAATCCAAGCATCCACCACTTAGGCTGACAACTCTGGGCCTTCTTTCTTTGCATGTGTAATGGGGGCATATGTGAGCACAGGGGCGGGTGGCGGTATGTAGCAGAGAAAGAGAACAGAGGGTTTAGAAAGTGCATTTTCAAGAAATAGTTTAAGAGAGATAAAGGAAGCTGCTTAAAATGTCATGTTTTCTAGAAGACTTTGAAATTGGGTCTAGGGTAAATTTCTTGTTTCTGATACTCAGTGCATTTTGGTTCTGACATTTTAGGAACAGAACTCATATTCCTTTTTAAAAAGAAGCACCCTGGGTGGGCACGGTGGCTCATGCCTGTAATTCCAGCACTTTGGAAGGCCAAGGCGGGTGGATCACCTCAAGTCAGAAGTTCAAGACTAGTCTGACCAACATGGCGAAACCCCATCTCTACTAAATAGAAACATTAGCTCAGTGTGGTGGCTTGTATAGTCGCAGCTACATGGGAAGCCGAGGCAGGAGAATTGCTTGAACCTTGGAGGTGGAGGTTGCAGTGAGGCGAAATCGTACCACTGCACTCGTGACAGAGCAAGACTGTCTCAAAAAAAAAAAAAAAAAAAAAAAATTAAACAGAAGCGCTCCATGGTGTTGCACAGTGTGTTGGTATGTATTACATAGATGAATGAGTTAACTGGCCCTTATTGGGGAAATGAAAAGGAAATGGGTTCTGGAAACCTCATTGTATGCCACGTTCTTTATGTCCTTAGTTATTATTGTCCCTTTGTGTTTTAGGCACTGTGAGGTGAATGCTATTGTACACATTTTATAGATGAGGAAACTGAGGCTCATGAAGTTTTAAGTATCTCTTAGAACAGGCGTCCCCAAACTTTTTACACAGGGGGCCAGTTCACTGTCCCTCAGACCGTCGGAGGGCCGCCACATACTGTGCTCCTCTCACTGACCACCAGTGAAAGAGGTGCCCCTTCCTGAAGTGCGGTGGGGGGCCAGATAAATGGCCTCAGGGGGCCGCATGCGGCCCGCAGGCCGTAGTTTGGGGATGTCTGTCTTAGAAGGTCACAAAGGTAATCATTGATGGAGCTGCATTCAAGCCTAAGTGCTTTCTGGTAGCAAAGATTATACATTTAGTAACTTACAACTAGCAGAGCATGGTTGCTCACACCTGTAATCCCAGTGCTTTGGGAGGCTGAGGTGAGAGGATTCCTTGAGGCCAGGAGTTCGCAACCAGCCTAGGCAACATAGGGAGACCTTGTCTTTAAAAAAATTAAAATTAGCTGGGCATGGTGATGCATGCCTGTAGTCCCAGCTACTTGGGAGGCTGAGGTGGGAGAATTGCTTGAGGCCAAATTTGAGGTTACAGTGATCTTGCCCCTGCACTCCTGCCTGGACAAGAGTGAGAGACCCTGTCTGAAAAAAAAAAAAAAAAAAGAAATACAAGTACACCATTTCCTCATTTTTTCAGCTATGTAAGTAACATTTGTCTCTTTTATTTTTCTTTTCTCCAATTTCAGAATCTTTTATGGAACATATAATTATTCACTAATAAATCTAGCGGGTCAAAACGAAAAGAAACAGTATCTGGGATAGAACTATCACTATATTCACTGGGAAAAGGTTTCAGAAGGGGTATCAGGTGGGGGTTTGGCGGGGAGAGGAGGCTGTCCTCTGGCTTTTCATGATAATACAGTTGCCATTTTTTCTGTACTGAGGCCTTGTCAGTGGCTCCGGAGTCACTCCAAGGTACCAAGTCTTAGTCTTACACTCTTCAGAAGCAAAAAGACTTTAAGTACTCTGAATTGGAAGCTGTGACTGTTGCTTAGATGATTAGGAATTGTCCTTTCCCAATTTAGGGCCAGGAGGCAAATAGTGTAACATTTCACAGCTGACTTGATTTTTAACTAATGTTTTTGGCTTCTGACTGTTAGCAAACAATACATCGTACTTGTTTTATGAGTTCTAGACTCTGGAATCTAGAGCAAAGAAAATATGCTTTAAGAAACATGCAATATTAACTTGGTTCCATTTTAAATCATATATAACTTAGATATTTTTAGAGTTCCTTTATGAAACTGTAAAATGGATATATATCATTTACATCAGCTTAGTTTTCATTTGTGTTTGACGTGACATTCTGCCACCAGAAACAAGTGTGTAAATTTACATAGTTGGTGGACCAACTATGTAAATCCATCTAGGAATCTGAAGGGGTTAAATAAATATCTTTTTGGAAGATAAATCTGAGCTTGAGATAACAGTAAGGTATTGGAATAAAATTTCCGGCAGAGAGCACCACCTGGTGATAATAAGGAGAATGTGAGCCTTCTGTCCTTGGAGTATTTGCCATGGTAAATAAGTGATATCTTTGTCAAAAAATTATATTCTTATTTGTAATAATCATTGATTCAGATTTCTAAAAATAATTTTCTGCCACATGATTATGGCATTTCTTCATTAAAACTGCTGTCAAAACCTTCAGGCTGGCCAGGTGCAGTGGCTCACACCTGTAATTCCAGCACTTTGCGGGGCTGAAGTGAGAGAATCATTTAAGGACAGGAGTTCAAGACCAGCCTGGGCAACAGAATGAGACCCAGTCTACAAAAAATAAAAATATTAGCCAGACAGGGTGGCACACGCCTATAGTCCCATCTACTCCAGAGGCTGAGGTGGGAGGATCACTTGAGCCCAGGAAGACAAGGCTGAAGTGAGCTATGGTCATGCTACTGCACTCCCAGTCTGGGTGGCAGAGAGACTCTAAAAATAAAAATTAAAAACCCGCTCGCTAACCAAATAATTGTGCTCCTTGTCGTTTCAAACGTAGGCTCCATTTATCTCTGTAGAAAATCAGTTAGTGTCATTTCACCTGTTTATTACATCCTCTAATTTTTATGTCACCCTTATTTTATGTGGTAAATTTCTGCCAAGTGGAGAATGGAGAAGGAAATATTTCTGGTTTTTCAGTAAGTTTTTGGCAGGTTTCATATAAGCCATTTTTTTTCCTGGGTAAAAATTATGAAGAAGAGTGTGATAATTTTTCAGAGTGATTATTAGGATGTGTAAATCCAGCAGGGGATGGGAGATTCTGTAACAGTTTTGAATTAAAATTCATATTTAAGGTTTTTTGTTGCAATAAGCATCTTTATTATTTGGCAATCTTGAAACGAGATGCTTCAGTAGTTGGGTAAAGTAGGGACATCAGCCTAAGGGGAGAGAATCCTATCATGTTAATGCAAATGCATATTTTATAGGCCTGGGGTTGTTTGCGGGAGGATAAACACAGTTTCAATTACAGGTTGAGCCATGGCAAGCATGCCATATCTATCTTTTTTCCTAACAGGAAAACAATACAGGCCACCACTAAAAAAGTGGTGAATACAGCCCCATCACCACTAAAACATCCCTCGGGAGAGGACTGTTTATGTAAGGTACTAGGTCAAATACAATACGACATGGCTTTGCACTCCTGGGATTTTTCTTAATATAAGTAACAGTCTTATAACATCTACGTTTCAACACTCATATTAACAGACAGTGTAAAAAATTGTACAGTGCACAAATGCCCACATATTATTTAATTCTGTTTATATTAAATATCCAAAATTGGCAACCCATAGAGATAAAAAGTAGATTTGTAGTTGCCAGGGAGGGAGAGAAGAGTTGGGAGAAAATGGGTAGTGCCTGCTAGTGGGTTTGGGATTTCTTTTGGAGTAATGAAAATGTTCTGGAATTAGATAGTAGTAATCATTGCACAGCTATGTGAATATACTAAAAACTACTGTATTGTACACTTTAAAAATTTAAACAACTACAACAAAAAGCTGACACATGGAGGAATGAGCAGAGTCAATAAACAGGTGATTATGGTAAAAATTCTTTCACTTACGTTCTAGCAGAAATGTTGTCTGATAATTAATATTGTAGTTTATGCCTTGAATGTTGTAATTTGTACTTTATTGCCCTGTTCCTGACTTTCACAGGGCCACGATGGGCCTCCTGGAACATTGGTGTGTTCATCTGCATTCGATGTGCTGGAATCCACAGGAATCTGGGGGTGCACATATCCAGGGTAAAATCAGTTAACCTCGACCAGTGGACTCAAGAACAGATTCAGGTACTTAGCCCGAGTGAGTCAGCTGCTCCCATATATCCATGTAAACGGAATTCCAGATGAATTTCAGTCAAACCAGGCACAAAGGTGAAGATAAAAGAAAATTTAGTTGTTAAACACTTATGTCAAATTCTTGTACCTTAACAGAAATTTTTATTCTATTTTTTTCCTATTTTTATTCTTTCTATTTAAGATACAGTTATTCTACCTATATTTTACCTCCTTAAAAACAGAAATAGTCTATGGTCTAGGATTCCATGGGTCCATGAAAGTACTAAGAGGAATCTTTGGGTGATTTTCTAAGACTCTTAGCATTTGCAGGTCTAAAATTTATGGTTTCAAATATTAACTTTTGGTCAGGCATGGTGGCTCATGCCTATAATCCCAGCATTTTGTAAGGCTGAGGTGGGAGGATCGCTTGAGCCCAGGAGTTCAAGACCAGCCTGGGCAACAGAGTGAGACATATATCTCTACAAAATAAAGAATTTAAAAATTAGCTGGGCCTGGTGGTACGTGCCTGTAATCCCAGCAGTTTGGGAGGCTGAGGTGGGAGGATTGCTTGAGCCCAGAAGTTGAGGCTGCAGTTAGCCATGATGATGCCATTGCACTCTAGCCTGAGCAATAGAGTGAGACCCTGTCTCCAAAAAGAAAAACAAAAAAAAACTTTTTAAAAAAACCTCCAAATTGTAGACTTACAGAAATTTATTGTTAAAATGCATGCATGAGGCCGGGCGTGGTGGCTCAAGCCTGTAATCCCAGCACTTTGGGAGGCCGAGGCGGGTGGATCACGAGGTCGAGAGATCGAGACCATCCTGGTCAACATGGTGAAACCCCGTCTCTACTAAAAATACAAAAATTAGCTGGGCATGGTGGCGCGTGCCTGTAATCCCAGCTACTCAGGAGGCTGAGGCAGGAGAGTTTCCTGAACCCAGGAGGTGGAGGTTGTGGTGAGCCGAGATCGTGCCATTGCACTCCAGCCTGGGTAACAAGAGCGAAACTCCGTCTCAAAAAAAAAAAAAAAAAAAATGCATGCATGAGTCTTGTTTGCTGTTAGCTTGGTGGGCTTGGAGTGAGACACCTAAGTTAATGAGTCTGGCTGGCCTAAGAACTGTATCTGGATATAGCTTCATTATTCTTTATTCTCTTCCTAAATTGAAATGCATTAATTTTAATTTTTTCTTTCTTGGGAGTAAAAAGGAAGCCCCCCTACCCCCCCCAAAAAAATCCAGTTGCTAAAGTTGGTGATGGAAATAAGAGATTACTCTTAATCAGAAAATAGCTTTAGAAATTGTTTTAGACTGTATTTATAGATGTATTAAAGGTCTAAAAGGGTGAGTTACATTTTTCAGTTACACTTTACTCTGTCTTAGGAAGGAAATTGTGTGCTGTGGAGATATTTGGGAATTCGGAGATTTAGAAAGCTCTTGGGATTTATTCCTTACAAGTGTTAAGGGGTCTACTTAAAAGCCTAATGGGAAACACTTTTATTAGAATTGATTAATTAATAGTATAAACTCAGAATGGTAACACTGATCATTGCCTGCCAAGTAGACATTTTAATTGGTAGCTGTGTATCTAAGACTTTCAAATGAGATCTTGAATTATTACTGAGTTAAATGTATCTTGGCACACAAATCTTTCAATAAAGGGAAGCTGTGGAGTAGGGGGAAAGGCAGCTTGGGGCAAATGATTGGGAATTCCTAGTAAGGTGGAGAGAATCACGAATTGGAAATCAGAATATACGAGTTTAAATCTTGGTTCTGATACTCTCTAGGTTGGTTCTTCAATTGTACAGTAGTGGAATTGGGTGAGAAGTTTTTCAGTTCTTTCTTGATCTGACATTCCATGTTTCTACATTCTCTTTGGTCACAGTGCATGCAAGAGATGGGAAATGGAAAGGCAAACCGACTTTATGAAGCCTATCTTCCTGAGACCTTTCGGCGGCCCCAGATAGACCCGTATCTTTTCTGGTGCAACTCAGAAGGCTGAGTGGTATTTTGATGTTTGGGGAGAGTCAAACAAGACTCAAGTCCTGTACTGTGACTGGGTCATCTCCATGTGGATTAGTCAGTGTCCCTGCTCGTCCTCTGTCCTGCAACCAAAATGTACAAAGACTACATGTATTTGCTCATGTCAGAATGGTCATATATTGTCACTTGAGGAAGACTCACTCTGGAATTAAGACCAGTGATTTCGCTGTGAATTCTTCCATAAGGTTACATCTCCACTAGTTTATTTTGGATCTCTGAAACTGTTGTTTCATAAAAAGAGTTGTTTACTGTGCTCTGTTAACCCTGGCAGTCAGCAAAACTGCCATTCATTTTTATCATCTTTTTATCTCTTGGGTGAAAGAATTAACTGTTGTTTACCAGTTTATCAATAACCAGTAACTTTCTTCCACTATCTGCTCAACAGAGGATAGCACCTGGGACACAAAACCAAATCCCTCAGAGGCAGTGCTTCTCAAAATGTAGTTTGTAGATCATCTTGTTAAGGTGTTTTTTTTGTTGTTGTTGTTGTTGTTTTGTTTTTGTTTGTTTGTTTGTTTTTAAGGGGTGCAGATGGAACCTGTTAAATGCAGATTTAGGGCCTTGCAGAAGACCCACTGGTCGGAATTTCTCAGCGGGGCACAAGAGTTTATGTTTTTAAAGGGCACTTACGTGCCTTTGTTTGAGGCCTGTTGAACTAAGTGCTTTAAAATAGGCATTTGACTGCTTTACCTATATTCTAGAATAGCCACAGACACCTGTAATGTCAATATGAAGGTTAATTTCACTTGCTGCTGTCATCACTCTGAAGGGAAATCATAGGAAGTAATGATTCCCTGCTCTACCTGCGAAGGAGGCATTTTAAGGTTTTGGTCAGAGAAATTGCATATAAAGAGGCAGGAGCCATGTGGGGAAACCAGGTAAGAGGGAAGGAGGAGAACAATGCTCCATGGAACACAGATTGACCTTTTATATTCTTACCGTTTGAGGGGATTCATCCTTAATAAGCTTTTTGCAGAGCTGTTGAAGGATTTATTCGAGATAAATATGAGAAGAAGAAGTACATGGACCGAAGTCTGGACATCAACGCCTTTAGGGTTAGTTATAAATCTTTCAAGTTTTGTTCATAATAAGTCATTTACTTATTAAATCAGGCCAGAGAACACTTTGAAGAACTGCTACCAAAACACTCCAAAACCGTCTTTTAAAAAATGCAAACTAGACCAGGTATGGTGCCTCATCCCTTAATCCCAGCACTTTGGGAGGCTGAGGCAGGAGGATTGCTTGAGTCCAGGAGTTTAAGACCAGCCTTGGCAATAAAGCAAGACCCCCATCTCTACAAAAAATTTAAAAATTAGCCAGGCATGGTGTGTACTACACCTGTAGTAGCCAGCTATTTGGGAGGCTGAGGCAGAAGGATCACGTGAGCCAGGGAGGTTGAGGTTGCAGTAAGCTGCCATTGTACCACTTCACTCCAACCTAGGCAACAGAGTTTGACCCTGTCTCAAAATAAATTTTAAAGCAAAAGTAAAAAGTACCAGTTACTGAGTTAAGACCATGAGATATCATGAAACAAATTTCTTCCTCAGGGATATGCAGGGGAAACTATATCAGTGAGTTCTTTGTCTTAATCTGTAGTTAGAAGGTGTTAGTGATGATTCCCAGTTTGGAATTGTTTCTTGGGATGGGCACGTTGCATATACTAGATTAACTACGATAATATGTGTGTATGTGTACTACAGATATATCTATCTACATAGATAGAGACACAGATATGTACTTTTTTTTTCTGTAAATGAAATCAACAAAAGTAGGTATAATTACATCACCAGAGTTTCCTTCAGTTTGACCAATGTGTATTTCCAGCATTACCTGCTGATAACCAGTGTTTTGGTGGACTGTTTCCCAGTGGGGGGTCCCTTGTTCCTGAGAAGGGTTTCAGAGGGAGACTGACTACCAGTTGCCAAATACACTTTCCATCCTAGGCATGTTTAGAATCTCCAGCATACTATACGATAACTAGGACAAATATAACACATGGGGAAAGACAGCATGGTTTCTGGAAGAAGAAAATATACCTAACTAATGACAACTAATGGGGAATCAATAGATATGACTATTTAGACCTTTAAATAACCTTTGACAAGATTCTACAGAAAACTCCCTTAGGAATAATTGGCCATTTCTCTAGTCACAGAAGTATTGAGAGTAAGGGATTCTCCAGTTCTAGCGCAGGTCCTACCTACCTTTTATCTATTCTAGTTATGTAATAATGATATAACAGCCTGTGAAATTTGCATGGGGCTCTAAGACCTTCTGGGTAATTAAAAGTTAAGCTAATTGGAATCTGCTTCGGATTGATCTTATGAAGCTGTGTGAAAGGGGCATTAGCTGGTGGGTGAATTTCAACACAGGCAAGTAAGTGTAAGGTAATACATGTAGTTAGGAAAACATGATTCCTTCTCAACTTAGTATGAAGGACTCTTACCTCACAATTATCCAGAAAAGGGACTTGTCAGTATCATAACTGTGACAAGAAAGAATTAGCATAGTGTGCAGCTACAGCTTGGATGGCATCATCAAAAACAGTTTAGAACGCAAGCACACACATTTCCTTTTATTTGTAGAAAACTGTGGTCTGTCTGCCCAGCTCTGTTCATTGTTCCTGAAGATATGAACTCAGATGAGATCAGAAAAGGGTAACTCAGATGAGATCAGAAAAGGGTAACTGAGATAATTCAGATGATGAAGGAGTAGAGTTGCTGTTTGTACACAGCTATTGTAGAAAAAACAACTCTGCCCTCAGGTGTTCATGATTACATTGCTGGTATACTGAACCCATGAAAGCAAGCCTGGTTACTGGATGTTTTTCTTAGGAATGAAATACCTCCCATTTACCAAAAAGCTATTTCAAACTTTGTTATTTAATGTACTTAGATTTTCTTCATATTCTTGTGAAGATTTTTATGCCAATAATTAATGTTTGCTAAGTGAAGACATTTGATAGCAAATGAGAAGAAACTGGCTTTGTTAAAAACTATTCTCTTTTTAATGGACAGATAAAACATTTTTAACTTAAACATCTGCATTAAAGACATAAACTGTGTATGAAAAAGATAACTGCATGTATTGATTATAAAATTTAGAGAAAATATGAAAATTAAGTGAAAAAATCCATGCATACTCATATCTTCTTGTGTTCTCCTTTTTTTGTATGTAGTTTCTTTTTGGAGGCATAATTATAATACAGTTATGTAGGTTTCTCTCACTTTCATTCCACTTCATATTTCTATGTTGCTTATATGGTATTTATAATTTTTAATTGTTGTATCACCTTTCAGTGAGTAGCTCAATCACTGAAAGTAATAGTTTATTTTGCCATTCCCCTTCTGTGGCATAAATGTAGTTAAGTTATTTAAGGTTTTTTTTTAGCATGAATAATTCCAGGCTGAACTTCTTGGTGCATTTAACCTTTTTCATATTTTGGACTAATTTCTTAAAATACATTACAAGATATGGTATCATGTAGGTCAAAAGGATTTCAACATTTGTCTCTTCCTAGTTTTGCCAATATACTTTCCAGAAGTTGTACCATTTTACTCTGTCTTCTCAGCATGTATAAGAGTATTCGTTTCACATCATCCCTCCCAACATTATATAAAGATCTTTCTCCCTTCATAAAATGCATTTTAAATTGCATTTTTTTTATCTCTGGCAAGACCAAACATGTTTTTCATATTTATGCTATACTCTGTATTCTTAAAATAACCTTAAGAATACAGAGGGCCAGGCGCGGTGGCTCAAGCCTGTAATCCCAGCACTTTGGGAGGCCGAGGGGGGTGGATCACGAGGTTAAGAGATTGAGACCATCCTGGTCAACATGGTGAAACCCCATCTCTACTAAAAATACAAAAAATTAGCTGGGCATGGTGGCACGTGCCTGTAGTCCCAGCTACTCGGGAGGCTGAGGCAGGAGAATTGCCTGAACCCAGGAGGTGGAGGTTGCGGTGAGCCGAGATCGCGCCATTGCACTCCAGCCTGGGTAACAAGAGCGAAACTCCGTCTCAAAAAAAAAAAAAAAAGAATACAGAGTATAGCATAAATATGAAAAACATGCTTGGTGGTTTTGTTTTACATTTAGATGATTATTTGATTTTAAGACTTTAGTTTTTATTCTTCTAATCTGTAAACTTGAAATTAAGTTTTATTTTCTGACTGTTAAAAAAGGAGATGAGGCCGGGCGCGGTGGCTCAAGCCTGTAATCCCAGCACTTTGGGAGGCCGAGGCGGGTGGATCACGAGGTCGAGAGATCGAGACCATCCTGGTCAACATGGTGAAACCCCGTCTCTACTAAAAATACTAAAAATTAGCTGGGCATGGTGGCGCGTGCCTGTAATCCCAGCTACTCAGGAGCCTGAGGCAGGAGAATTGCCTGAACCCAGGAGGCGGAGGTTGCAGTGAGCCGAGATCGCACCATTGCACTCCAGCCTGGGTAACAAGAGCGAAACTCCGTCTCATTAAAAAAAAAAAAAAAAAAAAAAAAAAAAAAAAAAATGAGATGAGTATTGAGAGGACCCATCATTGAATTTATGATATCACAAAGGACATAAGCTGAGTAAGATGCACATGAACTTATTCACTGATATACCAAGATCAGGGGAGACCTCTCAAAGCATGGGCAAATTAAATTTGGGTCACAGATGGGCAGCATACTGGTAAAATGTTTTAGCCTCTGTACATAGCCTTGACTGCAAATATCAAGAGTCATGAGTGGGTTAGGAGGGTGGGTGCCTAGGATGCATTGAGGCTGATTTGAAAGAGGTCAGCTCTCATGCTCTACACCAAGACACCATCCCCCAAGTTTGTCAGACACCTGCATCAGAATCAGGGATTTGGGCTATCCTTTTTGGACCCTTGAAATTATTATTTATCGAACTATTAGTCACCTTGGGCCCTGTGCTCTTTGTCTTGTTTTGTTAAATCATTATAGAAAGAAAAAGATGACAAGTGGAAAAGAGGGAGTGAACCAGTTCCAGAAAAAAAATTGGAACCTGTTGTTTTTGAGAAGGTGAAAATGGTAAGTTGGAAAGTATTTGCACTGTACGAACAGCCTCAGGTATGTGTATATTTGTGAAAGGGAGAGTTAGAGGCCTTGTGGTAAGTACCATTGCACCATCACACCTGGGACTAAAGGATTCTGCATCTGGATTGGATCACCTGTTGCCATCTCTGTTTCTTTCCCATTACCTGTTGTTGCCTGAAGCTGTTCTGTAAGAGCTTCTCTTTGAGGCCAGGTGGGAGCTTGGGAAATGCATCTGTTCCATCTAAGCAAGAGGCACAGTCTAAGCCAGAATGCCAAGGCTGTGGGACCTTCTGAACAGATGCTGTTTCCACATTAGTCCTTCTGTTGTTGGAACAGTCCAGAAGTCAGGCCATACTAGTCCATTTTATATGATCCCTTCTTATATTCTTGCTTTGTCATATTGAAACAGACACCTTTCTTTTTCCACAGGACATATTGTGGCTGTAGTAGTAGAATCTCTAATATAAAAACTTGGAATCTTGGGAGAGAGAACTTTACTATTGCTTAAGGAAGAGTCTTTTATCATCGTTCTGAATCACATTGTCTGTGGACACAGTCACTAGTGATATTGGCAGAGTGAATTAGTAATCTTTAAACCGACCTCCCTTTTGGTGTTACAGTAAAAGGTTTTCTAACCACTGGGAGGTGTGTTGGCTCTTGGCTCTTGTAGCATCAGATATCTACCTTTATTCTTGGCTTTTCCTGGGACCAAAAACTGCTGCTTCTGTTGGATCCCCTGTTCTGTGGTTGTCTTGGTTTCAGAAAGGTCTGTGTCTTCAGGAAGCCAGACAATCACGGGCAATGTCTTTGTTTTTCACTTTAGGTTTGATTTATGTACTTCTGCCTCCTGACTTGATTCTTTCACCTGACACTTCCCTGAGTTTCGTTTCTTTAGTAACTCTCTTTGAATAACAGCAGCCCTACCCACAAGAAAACCATGGCTTTACAGTGGAGATGGGAGAAAAAGAGTTTAAAAACACCTGCTTATTTCTTTCTATAACATATTTTCACCTTAGCCACAGAAAAAAGAAGACCCACAGCTACCTCGGAAAAGCTCCCCGAAATCCACAGCACCTGTCATGGATTTGTTGGGCCTTGGTAAGAGTCGGACTTTTCAGCTTCCATGTTCTTACATATTTTGATGAATTCTCAGTGACCCTGGAAGATAGGTGAAGATGGGCTTCTCCAGTTTTGTCTTCATGGCTAAGACTGTTCTCTCACATTCTTCCTGGTATGTTTCACATCTGAGCGGTTGCTCTAAGGAAGTGTTTACTGTGACACTTTTCAGAGCACCAGTGTGGTGCAGTGGTTTAGAGCATGACCTTTGGAGCCAGTGCCTCGCCGTGTTACTTACTGTCTGTGTGACCTTGGGTAGTTTACTTAACCTCTGATGGTTGCTTTCCTAATCTGTGCAGTGAGAATGAGTCTCTACTTCAGAGGTGGTGTTGGAAGGGTTAAATGGGATAATGCCTCTAAAGCTCTTGGCCCCATGCCTGGCACATACTGAGCCCTCCGTAAATGTTAGCAGTTTTGCTAAACAGCACCTTTGAGCCTCATGTCACTTACCTGTACTCTACTCCTTGCCCCCATTCCTTTCATTTTTCAGACGCAGCCTGTTTCTGAGATGGCCTGTGGTCATTTTTCTCCAAATCCTCGAAATCCTGAACTAGTGATTCTGCCCTTTCAGAAAGCAAGCCTATTGTCTACCTTTCACAGCACTGATGGTTGCACTTTGTTTCCATCCACTTCTGCTGATTTAGGTTACTGGCTACTTAGGCTTCTATTTTCTGCACCTTTCCTTGCTCTCTGAAAATGAACCCTCCATACCTTGCCCTTCAAGTAGCCAGAAGGGAGCCAGCCCCCTACTGTGGTGCTGAACTAACCTTCAGGCCTAGGTTTCTGCTGCCCTGTGCCTGATAGCTGGGCTCCAGGCTTCCCCAGAGCACTCTGGGAATGGTGGGGGAAGCTTCTCTTGAGAAGCACCATCCACACTAGGTGGTTCCAAAAGTCTAGATTTCTAGGTCCATGAGCTTATGGACCACCTTTGCTTTATGTCTAGAATAGAAGGAAGGCATGGGCTTAATAAGCAGTGCTGCATGTTAACTTCGATCTCTCTTTCTAGATGCTCCTGTGGCCTGCTCCATTGCAAATAGTAAGACCAGCAATACTCTAGAGAAGGATTTAGATCTGTTGGCCTCTGTTCCCTCCCCCTCTTCAGGTTCCAGAAAGGTGAGTCTTATGGGCTCCTTAGGATTAAAGAACATTCTGAAATGAGTGATTTCAGTATCTTAATCATGGAACCAAGTCGTACTTCCTTGGTGGGGTTGGACTTTGGTTTTCTTGATTGTTCATTCTTCCCTTAACATTGTATCATTTCTGTCACAGTCTTAAGATTCTAAGATTATGGTTCATGCCATTTTGTCTCCTGCTGAAAAAGTGGGCCCTTTGAATTGCCTCTATGGAGTGTGTGATATTGTGTAGGCTGATACTTGAGGCTAGCTCCGTGGCCTGAGTTACTGCCACTTGTAGGTAGGAAAGACTTGAAACTTTTAATGGCCACCAGTTGTGAAATGCCTGCTGTGTCTCAGGCACAGTGTGGGGTGGTTTTTGTATATCATTTTGTATATTTCATTAATAATTTCACATCTTCACCACAAACCTGCAAAGTGGGAATTTTACAGATGTGGAAACATGAGTTCATAAAAGTTATGTGACTAGCCTCTGGTTATACTACTAAATGGCTCCACTGGGATCGAAACTCAGTTCCTCTGCTGCATCATTTGTGGGTTGTTTTGTGTGTTTGTTTCTACCAAATCACATGTTTTGGTGAAAGGAAAGAACTGTAACAGAGCTTAACTGTCAGGAGTTTTCAGATATTTGAATGGTAAAAATGTCAGGAAGCTATTAACTTGAGTCGTGAATTCTTATTGCAGATGTTAGGAGCAGCAGAGAGAGAAGGGAGATCCTTAAGGAGAACCCCATGAGAACCATTTCAATTCTCCCCCTGACCTCTTTGCCCTAAGGTTGTAGGTTCCATGCCAACTGCAGGGAGTGCTGGCTCTGTTCCTGAAAACCTGAACCTGTTTCCAGAGCCAGGGAGCAAATCAGAAGAAATAGGCAAGAAACAGCTCTCTAAAGACTCCATTCTTTCACTGTATGGATCCCAGACGCCTCAGATGCCTACTCAAGGTAGATTTCATGGGTGTCGTGGCCATGTACCAAGTTAGAGACATGAGGGCTTCCATGCAGGAATTACTTATTGTGACAGTTGCTTTGAGGGCCAGGATGTCATACACCAGACAAACCTGAACATGACCAAAGTATCAGCAGATGGAAATTATGTAACCCAGACATACTTCTGTGGAGTCTGGGGTCACACTTCTGTGAAATATAACTCAGGGTCTGCATCTGGACCCTAAAGGGAAAATGGCCAGGTCAACAACCCATTGGTAAGCCATAGCAGGTCTTATAGAGATTTTAACTACTTTGCCATGTAAAAGAGCATTGTGAGTTGAGCAATCCTGAGAATTCCAGCTGGAACGGGGTAGCCAGGAAGACTTTGGGCTGACTATATGTTTTTTCCTCTTTAACAGACCTGTATGTGTGTTTTCTTGGCAGCAATGTTCATGGCCCCTGCTCAGATGGCATATCCCACAGCTTACCCCAGCTTTCCAGGGGTTACACCTCCTAACAGCATAATGGGGAGCATGATGCCCCCACCAGTAGGCATGGTAGCTCAGCCAGGAGCTTCTGGGATGGTTGCCCCCATGGCCATGCCTGCAGGATATATGGGTGGCATGCAGGCATCAATGATGGGTGTGCCAAATGGGATGATGACCACCCAGCAGGCTGGCTACATGGCAGGCATGGCAGCTATGCCCCAGACTGTGTATGGGGTCCAGCCAGCTCAGCAACTGCAGTGGAACCTTACTCAGGTAAGCTACCCCATTTTACTTGTGGCGAGAGTTTTGAGCTTCCTCAAGGTTGTCTCACTTTGTATGTCTCTGCTATCCTTTGAATCCTGTCCATGTAGAAGAGATAATGCCAGAGACATTGTTGGGTTTGCCTCCCCCCACTCCCCCCGAGAAGGTCTGTCTAAAGTCAGACTTTCTGAGGAGTTCTGGATTCCTGTAGAATAAGGGCAACTGCCTAAATCTGAATCTCTCTGCACATTGTCAAAAGCAAAAACAAACACATAAACCCTATACAAACAGTGAATGCAGATATTCTCATAGCAGTCTCACTTAGCAGGCAGAATACTACAGGGTTCAAATGGCAGGGCAAGGGGCATATAAATGCCAAATCTAGCAGAGCCAGCATCACAGAGGAGACTATGAAAAGAAAAGAGGGAGCAGAGGCCTAGCAGTAGCAGCATAGATAAAGTAACCCCCAGAAGGAAAAGGACCTACCCTCATCAGAGACATACTAAAACAGGACTGAGATGTGGTAGGTTAGAACTCTGTTTATGTAGGATCAAAAATAAGAGACTTGAGATATATAGGAGTATAGTTATTAACCTTAGGAAAGCATTGCTTCTTGGGTAGATGGGCATGACTTAAAAGGAGGAGGTACCCTTAGGAAGACCTGGTGGTGAAGGGAAAGAAAGACATGAGAAATGAAAATGAGAATCACAAAATCAGATATACAGCTTCCTCCCCCTTCCAAAATAACCACTTTACTAATCTAAGATGATGCTCCTAATCTAAGAAATTTGGTAAGCCTCCCCAAACCCTCACACCTATCATTGCTGATTGAGAAAAAAATAAGACCTTACAAAATAACCCAAACATGGCAGCTGACATTTGTGCAAAACTACTACAAGAAGAAAATAGAAAATGAAAATCAAAACATTTCACATAATGAATATTCTCCCTCAAAAAACAGTCATGAAGCAAGAGAAAATTGTTACACAATCTACCAACCTGAATTAAATGTCCTTAAACAAATGTTTGCAGGTAAGACAAAACACCTTAAATCAGAAATTCAAAAACTTAGAGCCAAAATGGATGAAAAACTGAACGTGTGAAATGGAAGTTTACTGAACTCAGAAAAGAAATTGAAGAAAAAGCCAAAATTATCATATAAAGAGTGAATTACAAGTTGACCAAAGAACAATAAATTGAGCTGAAAATGTATTTGGCATTGAGGAAAGGCATGAAACAGCTAAGAGAATGAAAACTAAATATAGAAAGGAGTAAAAAGAATCAGACAAATTAATATGGAAGTTCAGCAAAGAAAACCTAACATACGTGTATTTGGAGATGTCCAAAGAAATAAAGACAAAATAAATAAAACAACACACAAGACAGAATTATTGTATTTCAAACTATAACACAAGAAAGCTTTCTAGAAATAAAAGACTTGGATATAGTATGGAAAGAGTCCACTGTGTATCTGGGAAAATTGACCCAGAACAGTCAACTCTAAAACATATCCCAGTAAACCTACAGACTTTAAAGAACATTAAAAATGTTTAGGACTCCAGCCTTTTCCATACCTCCTACCCACAAAAATCTGTCACTTACACCAAACAAAAAATACCCAGGTTGACATCAGACTTCCAAATAGCAAAATAAAAAGAACAACAAGGGGAGCAGTAGTTTAAAGACACACAGGTATATGCAAGACAAGACAAGCATTTTACAGCCAACCCAGCCAAGCTACCCTTAAGGCATCAAGGCTGTGAAAAATAAATATGAAAGAACTCAGGGAATATCACACTTACAAGTGTGATATTTGGAATTTATCACACTTTCCTGGGGAATCTAAGATAAGCTTCATCCATCTAAGAGATGACTGGGGTCATTTTCATTTTTGGCAAAAAATGAAATGATGGTGAGAATTGAATGTTTAATTGAGAATCTAAGACTACAACAAAGGTGATGACAAGGGTTGCAGGATATATATCATATGCTGGCAAACAAATACAACTAAAAATAATGGAAGGAGAAGGGAGAAAAGTTGAGTAATAAATACTGTATAAGAAATAAGTAGAAGTCAAAGGATGTGATAAGCTGACAAATGATGGAAGCTTGAATAAGGAAAAAGGAGACCAAGGACATTGCTAAAAGTATTAATATAGAAGTAATCACTAAAACAAACATGTGAAATGTTCTGAATACCAAGAGAATTTTTTTTTTTTTTTTTTTTTAAGATGGAATCTCACTCTGTCACCCAGGCTGGGTGGGGTGCAGTGGCAGAATCTCAGCTCACTGCCAACTCTGCCTTCCAGGATCAAGTGATTCTCCTGCCTCAGCCTCCTGAGTAGCTGGGGTTACAGGCACCCGCCACCATACCCGGTTAATTTTTTTGTATTTTCAGTAGAGACAGGGTTTCACCATGTTGGCCAGGCTAGTCTTGAACTTCTGACCTCAGGTAATCCACCCACCTTGACCTCCCAAAGTGCTGGGGTTACAGGCATGAGCCACTGCGCCCGGCTGAGAATTTGTAAAAACAGATTACAAAGTGCAGCAAATACAATAAACACAGTAAAAATATAATATGATGGAATTGAGACCAAACGTACCAATCATATCAGTAGGCAACTGAAAATGAAATGATGCCTATCAAAAGAAAATGATGTTCAAATTGGTTGACAAAGCAACACTAGTTTTGTGCTAGGTACAAAGCAATACGAAGTGATTTAACGTGAAAACCAGGAGACAGGCGAAGGAATACCAGAGAGGTGGTGCATGTGTACTGCACATGTGCATGCATGTGCTATCTTTATCAGTGTAGTATCAATGTTATACTTGATTTAGAAAAAGTATTTTTATGTTTTTCTTTCTCTGTAGTCTGGAAGAATTTATGTAGTATTGGTCTTTGACGGTTTTGTAGAATTTCCATGTGGAGTTGTGTGGCCCTATTGCTTTCTTTTGTAGCAAATCTTTGATAGTTTTCTGTTTCTTCTATGGAAGTTAATTTTGGGAAAGTGTATTTACCTAGATTTTCCATTTCACCAAGGTTTTCAAATTTATCAAAAGTTATGCCAAGCAGCCTCATTAGTTTTTCTCAAAGAACCAGGATTTTGATGTGTTGGTGCGACATTTTTCTGTTTTCTATCTCAATTTCTGGTGTATCTTTAGTATTTCTTTCCATATGCTTTCTATGGGTTTACCTTGTTATTTTCTGGCTTTCACAGTGGAGACTTACCTTCACTTATTTTCATTGTTTCATTTTTATTTGTATAGGTAGTTCTGATGGGAATGTGTCAGAGTGGCACATGAGCCAACTTCCAGTGGCTCTGACTGGCCAAATGAGACAATTTGAACATCAAAAAGAGTAACAACACTAATGGATTATGACACATTGAATGGAAAAAAATAACCATGAGTCCATGGTGATATTTTTTAAAAACCAGGTGTGGAATGGAGGGAGGAAAAGCCTTCTTTACAGAAGAATGATAGTAATTATAAAAAGAACAAGGGATTCACACATTTGCAAAGAAATGCCCTTCAGATTATTTATTAATTATAATGAAAAATATATATAGCCACTACCTTAGCCAAGTGATCAAACATAAAATTACTGACAATGGAACAAATTAATATCATATGCTTTCTGATATTTTGTACTAAGAAAGACATCATATCACCTCCATAGAATCTTGCCAAAAGTATTTAACCTGGATCCAATTATGAAAAAACATGAGATGAATCCACATTGAGGGATATGCTACAGAATAACTGTCCTGGGTTCTTAAAACTGTCAGTGTCGGGAAGAAATGGAAGGAAGTAGTAGGGAAACTGTTCTAGATTAAAGGAGATCTGAAATTGAAATGCCATGTACGTTAGAATATTGTGTTAATGTTAGAATTCTTGAGCGTGTTCATTGTTCTGTGATTCTATTAAAGCATTCATTCTTGTGAGGTGCCTCCTGACTTAGGAGTGAAATGTCATGACAGCTGCAGCTTTTTTTTTTTCTTTTAATATCTGCAACTTTTGTTGCTCATCAAAAAAACATAAGTGTTTTTTGTAGGAACAGAGAGAAAATATGGCAAATGTTAACAGTTGGTGAATTTCAGGAAGAAGATATATGGGTTTTATTGTACCATTCTTTAAACTTTTATGTAAGTTTGAAATTTAAAAGTTGGTACAAGAAAATAATACTTTCTCCTATATAGAGTTTATATAGAAAATGTACTAGGCTTAGGAAATTCAAGGCATTTTTCTCGATGAAGTATTTTTCTGTTCACTGCTATGGGCTTGTCTTTCAATTGAATTCATGAAGGATCGCAGCCCATCCTCCCCCTTGCCTCAGGCCTTATTCCACTGACTTTCTCCCAGCTCCTTCCCGTCTCTTACACGGAAGACATATTAGTCTTCCCCCACCTTTTCCCCCACCCTGCCTTTGTTCATTCTCAACAGTCCAGTTCCTTTTTTTCCCCCCTTCTGCAAACTAGTGAGCCTGCTCATGCGCTTTCCCTGACGCTGACGGTAATAGCTGTGCTGGAGATGAGGCGGGAGCATTGGGAAGGGGGCTTTTTCTCAGCTTTTAGGGTTGGCCAGGCAAGTTAACAATAGGCCCCTTCTAATTAGGATGAGGGACTGGAAAAGAAAAAGAGAGAAACTCATGCTGATTTTCTGTCGACTGGATCCAGATGCCAGGATGCCTTCTTTCCCTCCCTGAGCATTAGTCTCCGTCAACCGGCACTCCTGAAAAGTCGTTCATGTACATGGTCTTGAAATGATCTGACTGCTAAGGTCCAGGGTTTACTACCCAAAGCAGAGTTTCCCTTTGTCTCATTCTCCCCATCCTGGCAGAGAAAGAGAGTCCTGCCCTGTCTTTTGCACTAATTGGCAGAATGCCCAGAGCCTGGTCTGAAAGTCTCCTCTCTCCCTTTCAGATGACCCAGCAGATGGCTGGGATGAACTTCTATGGAGCCAACGGCATGATGAACTATGGACAGTCAATGAGTGGCGGAAATGGACAGGCAGCAAATCAGACTCTGAGTCCTCAGATGTGGAAATAAAAACAAACACCTGTATGGCTGCCAGGCTGCCATTCTCTTCAGCCCTCGCTCTCTCCTTTCCACAGCCTCCACCCCTGACCCCCATCCTCTTTTCCTACCTCTCTCTTTGGTTTAGAAATTGCTCAATAAGTCATTTGGGGTGTGGCGGTCTGCCCAGCCACTTCCCAAACATGAAGACCTCTCTGTTGCTTTATGTCGTACATGCCCCATAGCCATCCCCTCGTCCTCCCCAGTCCTCTCCTGGCACCAGCATCTTAGAAGTTGTTGGCAGAAGGCACTTAAACTGTGGGAGAAATGTGCATACCTTTGAGTACCTTCCCTCAAGGTTAAAGCTCCTATCAGACTCTCAGAAGGGTCTGTAGGTGTTGTGTATTAGCCAAAGAGGGGAAAGCTTAGAGGTGCTTCTATATGTGTTAATAAGCTGTTTCTAAGTTTTTAAATTTGAAGAGGAGACATCATGTTCTCATGATTTATGGGAATGAAGCAAGTACCGAAATCATATTAAATACTCCCTGGGTCCTGGGTCAGTTTGACCCTAGCCTTGGGGTGAGGCAAGCCCCCTCCTGTGAGGATGAGCAAAAATATTACTCTCTTCGCCCTGAGTTGCTTTCCGGATCTGGGCCTTCAGGACTTGCTGCTTCAGTCAGCCTTTATTAGCACCAAAGACTTTGTGAGGATCCCACACACACACACACACACACATATCCCTTCCCGCCTCCCACCTACCTTCAGTAGGATCTGGCTCTGTGGCTGGAAGACCAAGCCTATTGTGGGAATGCAGAGCTTAACGTGTACTGCTTGTGTGTGCGTGTGTGTGTTTGTGTGCGTGTATGAGTGTGTGTTCCGCCTCCCACCCTCTCCCCATCTGCTGTGGGTATTTTTGTTTTTGTTTAGTTTTAGGTTTACAACAGAGAGGAGTTAATTTATCAGCAGCCTAAAACTGTTGTGTTTTTCTTATGGTTTAAAAAAAAAAATGCCATGTCATTGAGAACTCCCTTTCTCCTTTCCCTTCTCCCAGTCTGCAGATCACCCTCTCATGCCTGTGTATCCAGGGTGCTTCTGTCTCCCCACCTTTCCCAGGCGTATGGGGCAGCGGGCCGGAACAGCGTTCCCCTCAGTCATTGTTCACCCCACTTGAAAATTCAGACAAGAAAACTTTGCTTACAAGATTTCATGTGTGGGAACCGCAGTTCCTGGCTGCCTTTCTCCTGTGTATGTGTAAATTCCTTAATAAATATTGCAGGGAAGGACTGTTTGCTTGGCCATTACTGTGTGTCACTCTTGCAGGAGGGAACGTTACACTCAGGTTTTCTGTTTTCCAAAGGCAATTCTTTCACTTCCTGTATTTTAGAAAATTCTGTACTTCTCATACCCAAGGGTGAGGCCCAGGCTCCAGCAATCAGAAAGGCGGCCTCTCTCCACTGGCGTCTAGAGCTGAGCTGAGGGAACTCCGGAGATCGGCACCTGCCAGAGTCACAGATCTTCAGAGCAGCATGCCTCTTCCCCCACAGATGGAGAAACTGAGACTCGGAGAAAGGACATGGTTGGCCAGATGTCCACTAGAGAACCCTGGGCACAGCCGGCAGTAGCCTCCAAGTGTCTGGATTTCCAGCCCTTGTTCTTTCCCTATACCATGGCAATTAACTAGTGAGTTGAAATTTCTCCCGTCCAAGAGAGCAGTAGCTTTGTCTGGTAAAGGTAATTCAACCCTCTCTGAGCTATTGGAACTGGGCCTTCTGACTCTGTGTCAGGAATTAGAATATTTAGTCCTGGGGGCAGTGCGAAATACAAAACGCAGAGACCTTGTTTAGTCTGTTTCCTTCTTCCTCTGACTCCCTTTCTGCTCTCAACAAATGTGATCTTTGGACCCTTGCTCCCTACTTTTCCTTGAGTACACTGTTTAAGTCCTTAAAGATGTAAGTGGGAGGACAGCGCAGTAGCTAAGAAAGTCAGCTCTGGATCAGGCCTCCAGTGTTCCTATCCCTTCCTATGCTGGAACCTGAGCAAGCTTCTGAACTCCTGTGTCTCTGGGTAAAATGGAGATGATGGTAATACTTAAACGATAAGAAGAAGCAGTTCCTGTGATGTATTTAGCACACTATTGGGCACTTAGTCAGCACTCAGATATAAGCAAAATCTGTGTTAGGCAGTAGCTCATTTGACAAACATTTAGTAAGTATCAGTAATATGCCAAACACTTTTAGGCTCTAGAGACAAAGCAGTGAATAAAAACTCTTCGTTTTCATGGGATAGTGTGGAGGGAGAAATGGACAATAAACAAATAGATTTAATTCAGACAGTGTAAGACAAAGTAAGGGAGAGATTGAATATGGGCCCACTTGGATGGAGTGGTCAGGACAAGGTTACATTTGGACTGAGACCTGAATAAGCAGCCAGTCCATAGAGATCTGGACAGAGTTGGAAATAGTTTGACTGGGGGCATCAGTTTGAGAGTCTTGAGGGTACAGGTGTTATGGAAAGTCACTTGACAAAACAGAAGAGAACTGAGCCTTGGAACCCATCAGCGTTTAGAGTTTGGGAAGGATAAGTAAGAAAAGAAATATCATATAGTTTCTGCTTTTAAAAAGCTCATGGGGCAGCAAATTTATAATTTTTTTCCCCTTGTCTTTGTTTTTGAGACAGGGTCTTGCTCTGCTGCCCAAGCTGCAGTGCAGTGGTGTGATCATGGCTCACTGCAGCCTTCACCTCCTGGGCTTCAGCACTCCTCCAACTTCAGCCTCCCCAAGTAGCTGGGACCAAAGGCACGCACCACCACACTGGGCTGATTTTGTATTTCGTAGAGACAGGGTCTCTCTATGTTGCCCAAGCTAGTCTCAAGCTCCTGGGCTCAAGTGATCCTCTCGCATCATCCTCCCATGGTGCTGGGATTACAGGCGTGAGCCACTGTGCCTGGCCTGTAATTTCCTATACAGGTGGATTATGGGAGCTGAGATGAGCGGGTATTTAGCCCAGTCAGGAAACCTTCCTGAGCAGAGTGGCACTCAAGCTGAGTCTTTTTTTTTTTTTTTTTTTGGAGACGGAGTTTCCCTCTTGTTACCCAGGCTGGAGTGCAATGGCGCGATCTCGGCTCACCGCAACCTCCGCCTCCTGGGTTCACGCAATTCTCCTGCCTCAGCCTCCTGAGTAGCTGGGATTACAGGCACACGCCACCATGCCCAGCTAATTTTTTGTATTTTTAACAGAGACGGGGTTTCACCATGTTGACCAGGATGGTCTCGATCTCTCGACCTCGTGATCCACCCCCCTCGGCCTCCCAAAGTGCTGGAATTACAGGCTTGAGCCACCGCGCCCGGCCTCAAGCTGAGTCTTAAAGGGAGAAGTAGCAGTTAACCAGTGAATTGGTGTGGATAATAACATTCCAGACAAATAGCATCATATGAACAAAGACACAGAAACCTAAAAGAGCATGGAGCATTTTGGGAGGCACAAACATATTTCTAAGGTATGATGTGAATGTGGCGTGCGGTGAGAGAGGTGGAGCTGGACCAGGTTGTGGGGCCTTTCCTAACCCTATGAAGGAGTTTAGCCTCAGGTGTGAGTGGTAGAGAGACATGGTAGCTTTGAGTTTTAGGGGCTCACTCTTGCATCACTGTGAACAGCACGTTTGAGGAAACAAGACCTGAGCTAGGGAATCAGAGATGGCAAGAGCTGACCTAGGGCCATGGTTGGTGAGGGTAGGGGAGAATGGAGGGCCTTCGAGTAGCAGTTAATGATTGATCGTGAGGCATGTGAGATGCTAAACGATGTTCCACAGAAATGCTAAAACCAGCATGGAAAAGACTAGGTTACATCACCTCATATCTAGAATATAATATCTACATAGTTGTCTGTTTGAAAAGTCCTGTAATAAACATTTTTCTTAGTTTTCTAGCACTTACACTTACTTTACCATAGAGTCAATTTTTCTGATATATCTAATAACCATAGAATACTATTTGGGGAAAAAACCAGAAGAGCCAGAAAAATAGGACAGCAATGTTCAATCTTTTGGCTTCCCTGGGCCACGCTGGAGGAAGAATTGTCTTGGGCCACATGTAAAATACAGTAACGATAGCTGATGAGCTTAAAAAAAAAAAAAAAAAATCTCATAATGTTTCACGAATTTGTGTTGAGCTGCATTCAAAGCCGTCCTGGGCCACATTTGGCCAGTGGGCTGAGGGCTAGACAAGGTGCTTTAGGAGGTAGAATTGGGAGGTGTCATTATTGAATAAGATGTAGGATGGAGAGGGAGGAAGCAGTCAAATCTCCCCTGTTTCTAGATGATGCGAAAGAATGTACAGAAGGAAGAGAAGCTGGCTTTTCTCTCTAGGAGGGGAGAAGTAGATAATTAAGAGTTTGGTTTTAGGCTTGTTGAATTTGGGTTGTCTGTGTTATATCCAGGTCTGGTTGGCCAGCTGGAAATTGGATTTAAGAGTCTGAAGTTCAAGGAAGAGGTCAGGCTGGAGAAATTAATTTGGGAGTTAGCCCATGGAGGTGGCAACTGATCCCGTAGGAGATGGATGGGAATCACATAGGGTGGGTTTGTAAAATAACAGCAGTGGGCTGGGACAATTTGTGGGGAAATATTTATTTTTAATAGAAGCTAAGGAGGAAAGGTCCAAGAAGGAGAGGAGATGGAGTGGGGATGAGGAGGAATAGTCAGAACGTTCTGCAAAACAGAACTCTAAGAAAGCACAATGTCAAGGAACCCTAGGAACTATAATATCTAGAAGAGGGGTGATCACAAACATCAGATCAGTAGGAAAATCCAGTGAGATAAGGATTGGTAAAAGGAGTAGTGAACTTAGCATTTGGAAACTGCAAACTTCCGTTGGAGTGGTAGGGCCAGAAACCAGATGAGAGTTGAAGAGTTAATTGAAGCAGTTGTAAAGTAGAGAAACAGGCTCTATAAAATCAAATATACATGGTAAGATTTAAGGGTTACCCTTGAGAATAGAAATAGAGTATGTAAATTCAAACCAGTAAAGAGGAAAAAAATAGAATAAGAAATGCAAATAAGCAAAAAAATCAACCATCTTCCTAACCCCCAAGAAAAAGGCAGAGTAGGATTTTTTTTTCCTTTTTAAATAGAGTCTCACTCTGTCACCCAGGCTGGAATGCAGTGGCGCAATCTCAACTCACTGCACCCTCCGCCTCCCAGGTTCAAGAAATTCTTCCTCAGCCCCCCAGATAGCTGGGATTACGGGCACACACCACCATGCCTGGCTAATTTTTGTATTTTTCGGAGAGACAGGGTTTCACCATGTTGTCCAGGCTGGTCTCGAACTCCTGACCTCAGGTGATCTGCCTGCCTCAGCCTCCCAAAGTGCTGGGATTACAGGTGTGAGCCACCGCACTTGGCAAACAATTTTTTTTTTTTAAAGCTCAGAGAAGTGGACCAAACTGAATTAAAAAGTAATATGATTGAAAAAGTCTAAATACAAAAAAATACAATGTAAATGGAATAAATACAGCTGGAATACTGAGATTGTCAAATTGCACTTTTAAAATCCATTTCTAGCCCAGCGTGGTGGCACATGCCTGTAATCCCAGCACTTTAGAAGCCTGAGGCAGATGGTTCTCGAGGTCAGGAGTTCGAGACCAGCCTGGCCAACATAGTGAAACCCCCATCTCCACTAAAAATACAAAAATTAGCCAGGTGTAGTGACACACACCTGTAGTCCCAGCTGCTTAAGAGGCTGAGGCAGGAGAATCACTTGAACCCAGGAGGCGGAGGTTGCCATGAGCCAAGATCACGCCATTGCACTCCAGCCTGGGCAGCAAGAGCGAAATTCCATCTCAAAAATATAAATAAAGAAAAAAGAAAAGAAAGCTGGGCGCAGTGGCTCACACCTCCCAGCACTTTAGGAGGCAGAGGTGAGTGGATCATGAGGTCAAGAGATCGAGACCATCCTGACTAATATGGTCAAACCCTGTCTCTATGAAAAATATAAAAATTAGCTGGGCATGGTGGTGCATGCCTGTAGTCCCAGCTAGTGGGGAGGCTGAGGCAGGAGAATCGCTTAAACCCGGGAGGCAGAGGTTACAGTGAGCCATGATGGTGCCACTGCACTCCAGCCTGGCAACAGAGCAAGACTCCATCTCAAATAAAATAAAATAAAATCCATTCCTAGCTGGCCGCAGTGGCTCACGCCTGTAATCCCAGCACTTTGGGAGGTTGAGGCGGGTGGATCATGAGGATAGGAGTTTGAGACCAGCATGTCCAATATGGTGAAACCCTGTCTTTACTA